ACAAATAGCTATCGCTGGAGATTTTCATTCCTACATTTTTATGAAGTCACCAAGTCTTTGGTCAACATTTTCCTTCTCCACTGCCTCTCTGAGCCCCACACATGCAGTAAGGGCAAAGTGCTTCTGTTCCTACCAGATCATGCTCTGTAAGAGCTGTGTGGGTTTTTATGAGTCAGYCAGCAAGAGAAATAATCGAGTTTCACCTGCACGAGCATTAAGGTAACTGCTCCAGACAAAAAGGCTGCATCACAGCTCTAAAACAGCCTTTAATATTCCTGCTCGAGACAAGGCCTGACTACCTTCCYGCTTAGCTTCTGAGCTCTTTGGGAACAAGGCATTTTTATGCTTGTTTTCTGACACTGGCTACACAACAGTCTGCAGCAAAGGAATGTTGGTAACAATTTAGGGTTACTTAGCTAAATGAACTTGGCTGAACTGCTTTCTTCTCTCTGCTTTTCGCAGACATGACGTAGTCAGGGAGCAGCTCTCTGAGCTGCCGAAGCTGCCCTCACAAAAGAGCRTTTTAAATGGCATTGTGCAGAGTGCATTAATGCAGCGATTCCCTTGGAGACGGAGACAGGGAAGCCCGGGGAGGCAGAATGGACCTGCTAGGGAAAAAGCTTCCCCAGGTTCTTATTGACACGATCCAAGGGACTTGATTATGCCAGGAAAAGAAAAAATTAGTAAGCATGGCCAATCTGAAAGACATTCTACCCAGTTTAACATCGAACAACACGACTTTGGGCCCAACCTGTAAACACACTGGACTGCTGGCTGCTGTGGCACCGTTAAATGACCTCCCTGAGATTAACTCGTAACTACGAAGCACTTAAGGACTCAAGTGATTCTTTTTATAAACAACACTTTGGATTCAAATCTAAAAAAGMAAATAAGCTTAGGCTAAGTTTAGAACGGTGCTAATAACATGTGCTGTGAACACAAGTGAAGAGCGAGTCAAGGAAGCCTTTTGCTTGCCCCCATGTGAGATGCTGCAGGTCGGGGGTTCCTCTCCTGCCCTAGCCAGGCTGCCTGGCAGCCCCCTCCTCTCCTCCAGGCCTGCCCAAACCAGGGTTTTTCCTCTGCTTTCCTCTGCTGCAGGCACAAAATGCAGCAGACGTGACGGGCTTGCTCTTGGAAATGGAGCTAACTGGCATGGCGCTGGGAAGTCCAGCAGCAGCCAAGCCTGTCCCTGCACCCCTGCCCTGTGAACACGGACAGTGCTGCGGACAGGGGGACATTTTGCAGACCCGCTCACACCAACACAGGCAGAGCCTGTTCAAAGCAGCATTTATCTACTGGGTTCTGCTGCTGTTTTTTTCCCATCCTGCCCATCCCAAATGGAAAGGCCCCTTCCACATGGGAGGATCCTGCACTAGGGTAAATGCATAAGCACCTGCCAATCCCTGCTGCAGGGGACAGTGCAGAGCAGGGCAGCACTGAGAGGGTCATTCTTGCTGAATTCCCAGCCATTTTACGCTGCTCCTGGGGTAGTGTAAAATGGGGGAGAGGGGTTCAAGTGGTGCAGCAGTGACAGGGGGCCACCCCCCAGCACAGAAAAACACTCATTTTCCTCCCAAAAGGCCCTGCCCAGCGTGGGTAGTGCATGTCAGTACAGTGAGAGGCACTGCAACCCTTGCTGTGAGCACACRCAGCTCCAGGCTCATCCAGAGCCTGTCGCTCCCCTTGCTTGTTCCCACCGTGTTAGGAACCCCAGAGAGCAGGAGCAGCAGGAGCGAGGCCGAAGGGATGCATGGATACGGTGCCCAGGGATCCAGCACTCACCTCGGAGGAGTCGGCAAACCGCACAGCACGTGCACGCTGCAAGAGGAGCCGAGCGTTAGGACTCAGGAGGGCAAAGGAGCATGTCCTGGAAAACCCTGCTCCTACCACTGCTCATCCACTGCACGTTAGGACAATGTGTGTTTTAGCATTGCCCCTCTGAGCAGTTACGAGGTCAACCTCAGGGTCCTGTGTGCAGGAAGGGACAACTCTATGGACTAGCAAGGAGCATGGACCCACGAAGGTGACGTGACTGTGCCAGGGTTACRTGCCTGAGGGTGCTGAGGCTGGGATTGCAAACGCCTCCCTGGCTCTATTTTCAGAGCACTAAACAGACATGACTTCTAACTAAGGAGGCTTGGGAGCACAAGGAAGCAAAGTGTGGTGCAGAGCAAAAAGCTGCATCAGGATAAATGCAGCTGTGGGGCCTGGATTTCTTTGGTAGATTGAGGGAGGATTTCTACTGCAAGCATTGATACAGCCATACACACGGCTTCAAAAGGAATGTTATTCATAGATCTGCTGCTTTCTTAAATCAGGAGCATGCTGAGGAGTTTTGTGGGGATTATATTTTAGTGAAATTGCTACAARGATCAAAGTAACTCAGGGAAGTGCACTGTGGGCCTGAGTGCAAATGCAGGTGATTCCCAGGTGCTCACAAAATCTGTGGCCTTAAAAGCTTCCCATTGCAGAGGGTTCGCATATCAGGACATGCAGAAGGTGCTCAGATATTCCAGATGACGGGACACAGTGACAAACCCAAAGAAAACAGTACAGAAAGGAGACCATTTCCCAGCCCAAATGCTCAGTTCCTCTTCCTATTCAACCTTCAGGGCTATAGCACAGAACGAAATGGCAGGAGGAGTGAAGGACAGAGAGGACAGAGGGACATGGTGCGATTTCCATAACTGGTCATGAGTTATTGAAGTTTTACTCTCATGCATTGGGTCTGTATGGGCTGTTCTCATACCCTTTCTCAGAATCTGCCAGGTTAACAGGACGCAGCCATCRGGGCACATCCTCACTGCAGATTCCCCCCACCTTCGCTCTGTCCTGCAAAGGCTTCCGAGATTAAATTCGGAAAGAGCCCAAAGCTCAGAAAGGGCCTTGATTCTCTCCTGCCCAGGCAGTGCAGCGCTGCAGAGAGCTCTGCATTCTCTCCATGCTGTAGCTCACTGCCCATGTCTGCTTCATTCGGCCTGCGAATGTGCTTGGATGKGGCTCAGGTTAAGCCCTTGCTGGGGGCTACAGAGGGGCCTTCGCATCCAGCACTAATCTGGGACGGTGTTGGCTCTGGACACTGACATCCCTGGATGCGACACAACCTCTTTGTGCCTGCAGTGCTTTTGAGGCAGTAATGCAAGGTGAACAAGTGCCAAAGCCCACTGGTAATACAAAAACATCTGTATGTGGACTGTTCCTGGGCATCTGCCAGAGCAACGGGGCGGCCTCGAGAAGTATTTGGAAATGCTGCTCTGGAGCTGCCGGTTCTCCCTGCGGATGAGCAGAGCCTCAGGCATTTACAGCTCCCGGCTCTGCCCGTGCACGAAGCACAGGTCAGGACATGATGGACACTAAAATATCCCCGAGGCTGCCAGGAGGCTAAATGGAGAAACGCTGAGCTAAGAGCAAAGGGGGAGCTGGGCTGGGGGACAGGTGGTGGCCCAGGGCCCCGCGGCCACGCACACGTCCCAGCAAGAAGAGCCTCGTCCCTTGTGTCACCTCCGTGTGGCTGCCGATCCCTGTGTCACCTCCGTGTGGCTGCCAATCCCTGTGTCACCTCCGTGTGGCTGCCGACAGCGGGAGCAGGGGGACGACAAGGACATTTCTGTGGGCATGGCAAGCACACTGGCTGCCCGCTCCCAGCTCAGCTGTCGTACAGAGGGCTCCATTTACAGGCAGCAAAGGCAGCTGGAGCTGCCCGAGCCACTCCGGGCCACGGGGCTGTGCTCCCTCTGGGACAGGCAGCAAAAGGGAGAGGAAAAGAAGGGGCGATTCCCACTGTCTCTAGGGCTGCTCTTGGGATATTGTATTTCTGGGCCTTGTGAGACATTCCTCAGGGGCAAAAATAAACCTTTGCTGCGTCCGCATGTGGTCATTGCAACCCAAGTGCCCGCTGCTGGTGTGAACAGGGGGCTCGGTGCGTCACAGACCAACCCAACCAGCGCCAGCCGCGTATTAAAGGCAACAACTGTGGAAAAGAAACGAGCTGAACCGTTACTCAGTGTAGCCTGAGGGTGGTCCCAGCTACTAGGGAAGATCCAGACCKCTTTCTATTCCCTTCTCTTTCCAAAGCAGTTTCTTTCAGATCCCGTATCTGCATAATGCCAAGTTTCACTGGGGACCTGGTTGTGAACAGAGAAGCGAACGCTCAAGAAAGAGAGAAGAGCAGGGCTGGGGCAGCATTTCTAAATGCCAGAATTACAACCACTGTGCGTTAGCATCAGCTATTTCAGTTTACCTACAAAGAGAAATCATTCAACAGAGGATATTAAAAAAAAAATTACAATCATGAGCTCTAATTCTCAGCATGTGTGAAGGGCTTGAAGAAGACACTTTAGGAAGGAAGAGAAAGATGTCTCTAATATATCCCAAAACTAAATGCAATCGGGAAGGGGTAGCAATATATGGATGCATGAAATGCTGTTTCCACAGACCTCATCACACACAAGCAGAAATTGCTGAATTTCAAACTTKGAAAACAAAAAAAAATTCCACCACATTTTGGATCTGGGCTGACAAAGATTTCTGGAACCAAGCTTGAAATGAATTTGTAAAGCCATGGGGCTGTTTCTCCCCTTTACCCTTTCAGAATCCAAAGCCAAACCTTTGCCTTTGCTTGCTTCCCACAGCAGTGCTTACACACCCTTCGTATCACAAACAGCTCTCAGATCTTGCAGCTCCCTTAGCCCTTCTCGTTGAAAACGCCATCACTGAAGCCCCAAATCCAGGGCCTGGCTTTTCAGCTCAAGTTGCAAGGCTTGATGTTGCCTCCCTTGACTGCCCKAGTCCAACCTTTGGTACCCGCCAGGAATAGTAACTATCAAGCGAGGCCACTGTTATTTAAGTGCCAGGAGCCTCCACAGCAGGTCTGCAGCCTGCGAATTCTGGCACATGCTGCCTCCAGGGTCTGTTTCTATATATTCCTGCCGGCTGCATGGCTTCATTCAGCTGCTTGATCTTCCAAAAAACACGGCACTGAACCAAACGCTGGCGCTTACCTGAGCTGSCAGTGCCTTCCGATGCACTCCTGGATGCTTTTGCCTGGCTCTGTTTGCTACTTGTTCGTACAGTGACCGAGGGAGGAACAGAGGTGCTGCTGTCTCCTCGAATCGTCGAGAGGTCCTGCATGCTGAAGCTCCTTAGCCGCTCGGACAGAGCCCCTTGTCCCTGGTTAAACAAGCAAGGAAACAACACGCACAGAAGTCAGATTCCACAGCTCATTTTGAGCCTTTCTCCACTAGGACAATAGGCAGAGAAAAAATCATCTGGTTCAGTAACCTACAGAGGCCACAAATGAGTTAGCAGCTTCATTTCTTTCTTCTTGCTTTTTCTTTTGGAATAACGCTATGAATAAAGCCCAATGATGCACATTTYTGCTGGAGAGCATCTCAGATTCTTCAGTGTAACCATCCAAGCTCAGTGCTCTTGGCCCTGCCCAGCAGGCACTTTTCTTCACCAATATCTTTGTTAAATAGGTGTTTGCCCTCAGAAACCCAATTAAATGCTCTGCATGAAAGTAACTCCCCTCTTAAAATAATCATCGCTGATGACATTCACCCTGAAGTTTTCAGTCATGCAGAGAATTTCCAGAGCATGGAAAATCTGAATTTTTAAGGTAATAAAGTCATTCTTAAAAGGAAAGCAGCAGGCCAGGGCTTGTACATGCAGCTTAAGAAGAAAGAAATTCATACACAGTTTTTTTTCCCCTTTAAGACTGAGCAACAATAAACATAGTCCTTGATGAAAGGAATCTGATTGTTCTTCATGAACAGTGGGTTGATAAAAGGGATACCTTTCATTAGAACTACATCCCATTAAAAAGGTAAATCCTCAATTCTAACACCCACATTCTATATGATAACCCTAGAAAAAGAATGCCAGGAACTGCTGAGAAATCAATACAAATTGTATCTATCCTTCCTTCAGCATAACTGACAAAAAGTACATTTAGATTTGGGGGGTTTATGTTGTTTTCTTCTGAAGGACACACTTCATAACAAATACTCTTGAAAAAAAATAATGAAATAAATACACAGGGCTTGATTCTAAAATACTTCTGCTAGTTCAAATTAGAGAATGAAGAACTGGAGCAGCATTGCCTAGGCTGAGGTGAAGTCAGAAGAAGGCAAAACCAGTAGAGCATCTTGCCCTGCTTAGTTAACACAAAATAGAGACTGGGAAAAACATGTGCAAAAGGCCAARTAAGGCAATGGAAGGCACAGAGAATAACATTTGTGTCTGCAACAACTCACGTAAGCATCTTTGCTGAGGAACTATACGCGCAGGTGAATGGAAACCAAGTGCTCGTGGTCACTGGGGCAGCTCGCAGTTAGYGCCTTGGAGCAGATTCCTAGCTCAGTCACCTCCCAGCTGATCCTTGGGATGCCAGGATCAGCTCGTCCCATGCTCCCTACCCAGCAAGCAGCAAATGTCTCGTGACGGAGCTGCCATCAGCACTGCCCAAAGGGCCRCCAGTGGAAGCGTCATCAGAGAGGGACAAAATCCATCCACCCCTTCCAGGGCACCATCATGAGGTGGAATTAGCTAGGAAGCTGCATCAGGATTTTTATCTTCTTTTTATGTATTTATTTAATTTTTGCTTTCTTAAGATCTCTATGTGTGCTGAGTTTAGCTGTTTTTTTGCATTTAGCTTTTCTGCAAATTGCTACAGAGAAGCACCTGCACCCTCACCAYGCTCCTCCTGCAGACCTTATCTTGCTCCTTCTCGTTGACCTGTTCTAATTTTACAGCATTTCAAGTGGATGATGCTTCATTTTTTGAACACTGAGTTCCTTGCTGGTTTTATATTTTTGGCAGTAGAGTCCCTAAAGCAGATGCTTAATTAAAATCACACCTCTCCTCTCTTACTCTCCACTCTGCCTCAAGGGTTGATGCCTGAATTCTGGGTACTTTCCTGCCAGCAGCTAAATCACTCTCGGAACAAGTTCTTACTCTAATGGGCAGCTTGACTTCTTGCTTCGAGGTCAGTCTGAGGCACATTTATTCTGCTCTGTTTCTGTGTAATAGGCAGCAACTGCCACAGATACACTGTAATTTTATTTATATGCATATATACATACAAATACATGTGTATATATGTATGTGTGTGTGTGTATATATATATACACACACTGGATTTTGCTTGCGTGGCTATTTGCATGGCASCTGTGGTGATCTCAGCAGGGTCACAGCCACGCAGGGCTCAGGGCTGTACAGTCCTGGGTGGGTTTCCTGGCTTGCCTGGAATTCCTGCCACGCAGAACTCTTCTCAGTAGCCGGCTTAAAACCCGCCACCCCACCCCGCAGTCTGGTGCAACAGGCAGCTCCTCGGCGAGCGCGAGACAGGAGCAGTGGGATCTGTAAATAACCTGGTGGGGCCGGATCAGCGACGCCGCAGCCGGAGCCGGAGCAGCTGCCGCAGCGCGAGTGCCGGATTCCTCCCGCGTTGGCGGCTCCGGTATCAGTGGGGACCAAGGCTGGCCCGGGGGACCAGCCTGTCCCCTGTGCCAGGACCCCAGCCCATGCTCCAATACCTGAGCCTGCGCTMAAGTCCCCTCCGCTCCGGCTGACGGTTTGGGTTTGCGCACAGGGAAGATTCACATGTCAGACAACCCGGCCGGGAGGACGACCCCAAGTGCTCTTTTGTGCTGGAAATGGGGATGTGCTGATATTCCTGTACTGCAGCCGTAGCAGCCTATAAGGATCAAAGGCCCCAGAGGGCTTTAAAGCAAAAAGACCCATTTTGCCCATCACCTGCTGCCCGTTACATAGGATATAATGTGCATGGCATGCCTTAAACACACTGATATCGTAGCAGCTGTCCTAAATAATTATGATGCTCTCCAAGAATTAAAAAAAAATAAAACACAAAGGAAAAAATATTATCATTCATTAACAAGCCTCAATGCATTGCAACCCGAGGGTAAAGGTTGCTTTTTTTTTTCTGCAATTACATGGCAAAATACTACCATTACTGCCATTCCACAAAATAGTTTGTACAAGTCTCATAAATGGCAGGAATGACTTAAGCTGAGGGGCAAAATTAAATGTGAAGGAGCTTGCTAACAGTCATTCCATATTTTTCTTTCATATTTCATATTTTTCTTTCAAGACTTTACATCTTTGTAGGAAGAGACCGGACTTCTTGTATTTCCTTGGGCACAACATAACACTTTAATCCCAGTTCTTTCCTTGTCACCACAATATTTCTACCCAAACCCAAACAGATACATGGCAGTAAGTATAACAGAATCAGGACAGTTTCAAAGCTAGATGGTAAATGTTGTTACCAACCTTTATTYCCCTGACACAAAAGCAGCTGCTGTATATGAGATCACAAACACTTTAAAGGCAGATGCTGTGAGGGTTTGCACTGCTATCATTACATTCTTTTTTTTAGCAATAAAGTCTTTATCCTGCAGTAAAGCTTGTTATTCCATAATAGGATTTACCATTTATTAATAACAGAAAAAAATCAAATTAATAGTTTGATTTCTTCCTGGTTTTATCCTAGCGAGCTCGGCTGAGGTTAACATCAGGAGAGTGGCCTGGGTAACAGCACCTCAGTGTGTCAACAGCTGGATATTGAAGAACTTTTTGAACGTGGGGACTGGAAGGGCTGGCGGGGCTGTGGGTGACAGGGCTGCTCTCTCCTTGCCTTCACTACTGCCTGTCACGTTGAGCTCGCTGGCGTGTGGGGCCTGTCCCCTAGGAGAGGACACTGGCTACAGCAGTGCTGGAACCCTGGGCCTTCTCTTCCTTCAGCACAAGACTGCCCATCTAGACTCAACCTTCCCCCGGTCTCTCCTAGGACACAGGTTGTCCCTAATTGCAGGGTACTCTGATTTTCCTGGACAGGGAGGCTTCTGATGGCATGGGATGGGAACATGCATCTCTCCATCCCTAGCACCTGCTCTCAGATTCATTTGCTCTTACTCTCTCTAGGGAGGTTCATGCCACGGTGAAGGCCTGGGACGCACGGAAAGCAGAGCCCTTCCCAGGTTGGTATCCCAGTATAAAAGCTTCCTTCAGCTGCTCCTCTCCCAAGACCCACCAATCCCACTAGGCCCATAAGTGACAAYGTTACATTATCATACCTTCAATCTAAAAATCAGAAAGACCTTTGTAGACATTATTTAGGCATCAACACATCTCTAATACCTACAGAAACTCCATTTTGCAGCTGTGGAAACCGTAATACTGCACAGTGAAGCAACACAAATCAGCAACCAAATAAATTCACACCAAAAAAGAGGAGCTTTTAACACAGTCAATGTTAAAACACATTGGCCCCTTCTGGTCTTTTGCAGGTCAGGATCAGTAGTTAATTGCCAGGCAAGGGAACACTAAGTCACACTTATCACACTTGTACCACACCTGGTAACGTTCTCCTCTTTTTCTTGTGACCTTGGTTAGCAGCTCTCCTGCACGCTAGCAGACAGGTCTGCATGCATGTTGCAGCCTCTATCCCACATATTCCCAGGATACCAGCAGTGCAGTTTCCCAGGATAGCCGCAGTTGCTCCAGCAGGACTTCCTCGGCCAGCCCAGTTGACAGGCGGTCAGGAACCGCTCGCGTAGCTGCGTCCTCATGCCCAAGCAAGTCCTGGCCCCCAGCCCCACCGCCAGCCCCTCCATCCTCCTGGCACTGTAACAGTGCCAGRGAGGCTCCCTTCACCCATTAGTGAGAAACCACAAGCAAACAGAGCAGCTTGGCCAACACAGGAGCAACAACCTGAGTTAGTTGGGTAGGTTTTTTTCCATGTTCCAAAATTCCCTGGCTGGCTGCTGGAGTCTCTCCGATTGCAAGCAGAGGACTTGGGAGGCATTTTGTTGGTGAGATCCAAGGGAGGCTTTTGGAGCTGCACGCACAGGATCTGGCCCCGAGGGGTTTGAGCTCAGAGGAGCTCGGCCTGGCCCTGCAGAAGGCACCRTTAGCTGGGTTAGTGCAAGCATTAACCGGTTACCTGCCCTTCTTTCTGGTCCAAATACAAGTGTAAATGAAGTAGCTGAGAGACCTAGCAAGGGAAAAAGAGAGCCAATGTGGCAACACACATAAAAGCTTAGAGAAGAAAGACTATTTGAAGCATAAGCAACTGAGGCRAGACGTGAGCGCGACACTGGGTCCCAGCACCTGCTGCAAAGGGCAAGGGACACATGGGTGATGAT